ACAGCGAGAAATCACCCCCCAGGGGGGATGGCCAGGCCACAATCCCTTCTCCTCCATTCTCTTCTCGGGGTCTTGGGCATACGCGCCCAGCATGAGTTTAAGCCACCGGGTCTGGGAATTGAACCACTCTCGACTACATGAGAGTCCAGCGACATAGCCATTACACCAACTGCTGGTCCTTCATCATCATTATTTTTAAAATTGCTACAGGCACACACACTCATCTGAGAGGGACAGAGAAAGAGAGAGAGAAAAAATGAGAAAGAAGGTAAGCCACCAGGTCTTGGACTGGAGCCAGAGTCCACCACGTGGGAATCCAGCACCTTAACCAGAATTTCACCTGCTAGCCCTGTTGGCATATTTAATCCCATTGCACAAGAGCTCCACTCCCTGTATGCTTCAGACATCTCACTTTCTAAATAATCTTAATCTTACTTACAGGTCTCTCAACTGTACCTTAAGTTCCTGTCTACCTCATGCTTTGGAGGAGATTCCAGATGCTGATCGTATTTTTTTTTTTTTTTTGAGAGGTTTTCGCTATAGGGCGCGTGTGCTCGCCAGACAGACAGAGAGAGACATAGAGACAGAAAGCGAGAAATCACCCCCCAGGGGGGATGGTCACGCCGCAATCCCTTCTCCTCCATTCTCCTCTCGGGAACTTGGGCACACACGCACATGCGCCCGGTGTGAGTTCTAAGCCACCGGGTCCGGGACGCGAACCACGGTCGACTACGTGGGAATCCAGTGACATAGCCATTATGCTAACTGCTGGTTCCCCTGATCGTATGTTTTATTTAGTATATGTGCTGCCGAAGCGAGCACCTGATCGTATGTTTTTATAACAGGAATGGATCTGCGTGGACCTCCAAATTGTCATACTTATCACTCCTGGAGCAAAAAGTGTATATATTAGAGAACCTGCTTATACTGTTATATGGAGCCTATTGTGTTAAGTGCTGTTAAGAGCAAGTAAGTCAGACATGGTTCCTGTCCCTAAGGAGCTAACTGCAATTTGGGAAAGGTTATTTCTCCAACTTTAAAGATACAAGTGTTAGCAGAGAATCGTGATTCTCTTCTTTGATCAAGACATCTGGGAGACTCATGAAAGACAAAGCCTTGTCAAAGCGAGCTACATAATGGCCTACAGCAATTTTTATAGCCCGAATAAAAGGCAAAAAGTCCTTTTAAGTAACCAAAACAAATAATCTAAACCACTACTACCTAGTCATTTTGATCCAATAGCAAAATGATCAAGTCTTATACCTTTTTATTCTTTGGAGGGATGTTTTATTTGTTTTGCTTTTTGGTCAGGGTTTAGGTGCAGATAACAGGATGGCTATTCTAGCAATTTTAAGCAGGAAGGGCTGAATACAGGAAACGAGGTGCAACAACTTCATCGGAAAGGCTTGGAGGAATGGGCTGCTGTTTGAGAAATTGACAAATTCCTAGAGGAACTCCTGGCTCCCAGGGAATATTGACTCCTCTTCTACTTTGCTCACAATACCACCTTCACATCCTATAACCTGAGGTCTGACATGCAAATTTCATGTCCTCCAACAAAGTCATATCAAATACTAGAGAAAGGAAACGTAAGTGAAGGAAATTTGTTACTATAGTCCAAACAAAGCCAAGACGAAATTGAGGTAACTAATCGAGGTAACAGAGCTCATTCCTG